TTGTTGGAAATGACTGAAGAGCAGAACCATCGGTGAAAAAAAACGAAGCAGCATCACCGAAAATGTGAATCTAAAACAGGAAAACAAATCTAAACCGCCAAAAACAACAAAACTGTGACACTACCACAAATTTCCGGTGAATATCAACAAAAATGGCTGAGCTACGGCCATTTTTACATTAACTAAAGAGAATGGGATTAACTCCAAAAGTTGTAGACTGAAAGATTGACAAATGAGATATTTTCCTAACAGAAGAACACCCCCCACAACACACAGGCATTTTTATCGCCCACTAATCCAGCGATTAAAGTCATTATGTAAATAAACCAAAGTTTACAATGATCTGTTACTTATTACATTTGTTTATTTTATTGCATTGAATCATAAATGCAATAGATAGAACCCCTATATATTTTTTATGAAGTGGACCAGATTGAAGTCACCTGCTGGCCGGAAATGGCTCGTGGGCCGCCAGTTGAATAACCCTGCTTTAGTGGGAGCTTTTGCTCGTTTTCCAGCCTGGAAACCCTCCCGTGTTTGAACGCTCTTTTGTCTTAACGAAAAGTAATTTCGAAAGCAGCTGAGCGCCGCCGTTAAGACTGCGAGGCATTCAGGAAACACAGGAAACAAAACAAGCCTCTGCTCTGGTGGCTTATGGGTAAAAATCCTGTTTTGGTCGCCTGCTGTTTTGTCAGGCTCAAGGAAAGAAGGCGCTAAGTCCATCCTGATACGTACACCGTGCTGAGCGGGAGAGGCCCACAGGGGCAGCATTCCACCTCATGGTGTACCACTCTCCACCAGTCATGAGGGACTCAAACCTGCTCCTTCCCTCCTCCCCAGCACTTTCCCATCAGCTCGGACTTTCAGCAACAAGTCACAAACCAGAGTTTCCCTTTTCCTGTAACGTCCCAGATAAGCCTCAGCAGAGGCCCACCGCTCTGGATGGGATAGCCGATACTTTCCGGGTGTTTTTCCATTGTTCATGAAGACCTTCCCTGATAGTGGCAGCAGCTGGGGAGTTGTTCAGCTGCTGCCCTTTGGAAACAAATAAAGAAATAATCCCACCAAATGTGCTGAAATGAGCTGGCCTCTGTTTTGTGGGAAACAAAGAATTTGTCGATGATAGTTTGAAGTTCTCTGATCCTTTATGACAAAGGTGAGTAAAACTGTGATGAATAAAAAAAACTATCACAACGTTTGATGTGAAATCTAATAAACAACAAAATCTGAATAAATGCAGCTAAACTGAACAAACAGAATTATGTCATGACCAACAGAGCAGGAAACCAGGAAATAACCTCCAAAACAGCACAGCAACATCTGTATCCCTCATTTCTTTCTTTTGTTTCCAACTTTCTTCTTTTTTATTGAAGTGGTCTTGATCATCAGGCCTTCTGAAGATCATTCGGCGTTTACTTCAGCTGCTTTTCTGCTCATTTCCACTTCAGTGTCTGACCGTTTTCAATGAGCAATGCACATTTATGAATGAAATATTTGAGCTTCCTGTCAAAAAGACACAAACGGTTTCATTTCGTTCGTCTGAATCTATGAAAAATGGCATAAAACATGACGAACGTGAAATTGAATGTTGTCGTCACCAAGCTGAGAACATATCAGCTGAAGGATGATGCATCTTCAAGGTCCTGTGTCTGATCTCATTCACGTTAAAAACGTGACTTCCAGAGCGTCCATCTCTTAGAGAGCCTCTTGCAGGTCTGAACCTCTTCTTTCGTCCACTTTCCTCGTTTTTTAATGATCAGGCTCGAGCTCTGGACTGAAAATGAGGCGAGAAGCAGCCGAAGTTCTTCAGAAGGCCCGAAGACCACATTGGTTCAGGGCTGTCAGATCTCTTGATCCTGCACTCTAAATAAGTGCTGACAGAGCAGCAGTTTTACACTTTTACTCTGGATTTGCTCGACCGAGCGTCGTGCTCGAGGCAGAAATGTCCTCATTAGTGAAGTGCTCCGCTCATATCTCTAATACCCATTCATGGTGTCACAGCGTGCCCCCTGAAGAACCTGTCAGCTACAGATGTCAAACCCCCCCACCCCACCATTCTCCAGGCTGACCCCACTCCCTCCCCCCACCACAGCCCCCCATGGGGGATTGACCCCCCCCCCCCCCATCAGAACAAAGGAGTGAGGGGGTTTATGTGGAGAGCAGGCGGCCAAACATTCCTGATACAACATGGCAGGGTGGTCAGCAGCTTCAATTAGTGCACACTTTAGAAGTTTTTGAGGGGCCAGGCTGCACAATGGGGGGGTGTTCATGAAGCTTCAGGAGCTTCTGCCTGCTTTGTTGCTTTGAGCAGTAAACCACTCCAAGGATGCTTGAGAAGACATCATCAGTCATGAGTCCAAAACTTTGTGTGGTTGAAACCAAACACAAAAAATCAACTTCTCAGAATCTGGTCTAAAACATCTTGAGGAGATTCTCCTGGTTCCTGCTTCCCTCCATGGTTGAAGCTCTCAGCTGATCGTGATGCAGAGATTTTCTGCAGCACAGACTGTGATCGGATGCTGCCTGGACACCCCCCCCCCCCCCCCCCCCCCCCCCCACACACACACACACCACCACCACCACCACCACCACCAAAAAGATCACCATCTAGACTCAGAGCTGCTTCAGGAGCAGTCAAAGGTGAAGGTACCTACCTATGACACAAGGTCCTCTGTAACGTCGTGGTACTCGGTGTGTCCGGGACAAACGCGCGACGCTTCACACCCTCCGGGCGCGCGTGCTGTCCGTCCCCGCAGAGAAATGTCAAAAAGCAGCTCCGGAGCCGCTGGAGGACTGAATGTGCAGGGCGCCTCCTCTTCCTCTTGTTGGGCTCCTGGACATGTGAGCCCACCTTTCCTCCCTCGCTGCTGACGCCACCCGACGCGGAGCAGCTCTCCTCCTCCTGGTGATCCGCAGCTGAGCGCTCCGTTACGCGCGGCGCGCAGCTCGGTGCCACCCACCTGCGGGAGGAGGGGGGTGGGGGTCGTGGCGAGGGGATGGAATCTCAATGAGCTGCTGCAGTTTCCTCCTGAAGCTGATGGTGGGAGAAGGACCGAGGAGTAACTGGGAGGATGGAGTGACGCAACTGATCAATAAAACTCGTCCTGGCAGGCAGCGCAGGAGACATCTACCTCTTGATATTAATAGATAATCGATTCTTTCACAAGTACAGCCGGGGAAACCCCAAAACCCTCCGATGTGCCCAAATGGCACAAAGATCAGACCCTCCTGACTCACTTCATTGTTTTTTTTACAATTTATATTTTTGCTATTTACCTTGTGTACACAATTTCGTTCCACCTAGTGTACCACGTGATGCAAATGACAAAGAACCGTGAATCCTTGTCACAACTGTTCACAGAATCAGTGTCCTCCATTCCAACCTCTCCCCCACCACTAAGAGCCTGTACAAGACTGGAATGGGCTTCAAAACCAGCAGAGCGCCCTGGAGAGAAATGGAAGAAAATGACCATTGATCTCTCTTCCAGCATCTTACCTCAAGAGAAGGTGACATTTAACCTCTACTCTGTAAGGATTTAAATGTTGCACCTGCAGGTCTCGTGGTAAGCACACCTGATTGGTGGTGCAAGACTTCCATCCACACTGGTGCAGCGTTACCAACCATGTCCTTTAGTGCCAGTCCCAACCACCAAGGATCAGGAAGACCCTCTCCTGTAGACTCATTCTTCATCTCCCTCATGATCACCCCACCCTCAGTCTGGAGGGTCATTAATGGTCATTTATACTGAGGTGACCAACACTTAAACAACTTACTGATGGTCAGATCGAGCTGCTCTGGTTCATGGAAAGGTGGGAATGCAAGAAGCTGTTGTTGTGGACAGGTGTTTTATACCTGGAGTGTTTGAAATTAATTGATTGTAATGTGTGCAACACAAAAGCACTTAGTATTTTTAGTAGAATTAAATTTGGGCAATAGGGAATTAAAAAAGCCATAAATGTTGACACTTATTTTGTTGTATAGTACTTTTGTTTATCAACAAAATAATGTAATTTCAGAGATTTTTAGTGCTCCAATCTTTAAAAAGGATCCTAATATTAAACACATAAACACTTAAGTTCCCCACAGCTTCTAATAAGGTGGGATTTCCATTACATAAAAAGTATTACATAAGTTTTTCATGTATTTTAACTGTAAAATGATGCAGGTTTGATGTATATTCTTATAATATAACTAAAGGAAACTGACATAGTAGACAGTTTAATTTAATTTCATATTTTGGTCCTTTTTGTGCAGATGAGTTGAACTCACCGTGTTGGAGGTCTACTCCTGTCAGGACAGCTCCTCTTCCTGTAATCACCTCAAACAGAAGAACCCTCTGATGGCAGATGGTCCATCTAGTAGGAGGTTAAACCACTTACCCGTCCATATGGGAGGGAGCGGGAACGCCTGACCTCAGCTGGCACCCGGACATGAAACGGCACTTTGTTAAAGCACAGAACACCAGCAGGGCAAACAGCATCTGGTGTTTACTGCACGGACACAACACACAACATACATCAACGAGGCCGGAGCAACTTTCCTGTTAAAGTTAAGTCGGAGGTGAAACAAACATTTTTTTTTTTAAGGAGAAATGCACTTTTTGGTTCATCAGCAGAACTGTTTTTAACATGTGCATTTTTATATTTCTTTATTTTTTTTTTTTATATCAATGAAAGGTAATTTTAAAGAAAAAGGAGAATTTCTGTTTTAATTTGAAATACAATCAAATGGGCACCAGGGACTCTGAAAGGAAGAAGCAGGTGAAGATAATTGATGGATAAACATTTAAAAAAAAGTTTTAAAAAGCACTTAACATGTTTACTTGTTGCTGACTGAGACTGCACTGCCCCCTACAGGCCACAGCATGCCACTGCAACCAATTACAAACCGTGACTCAACATTTCCACCATCATCGAGACGCCAGCCTCCCAGCAGCTGCAGTGGTTTCAATGGAAAACAGAATGACAGAACAGATGCTACTTTTATTTCATTTTTATACAATACATAAAAAAAATATATAATTTACAACAAGTTTTAATGAACTGCAGATTATTCAGACGACGTGCTGGGGTTTCAGTTCACCCGGCTCTTTTTCAGCCTGGAGGCATCAGCTGACGCTTTACGTTTACGTGACGGCGTGTCCGGATCTTCTTCAGCCGGAGCTGCAGCCAGACGGTACAGCTCCATAGGTGGGGTCGTCTCCTTATAGAGGCGAGACAAAATAAATCTGCGTCACATTTACCACCAGTATTAATGCAGCTGTTAACACCATCTTTCAAGACAATAAACAAAGGTACCGGTTTATTTTATCAATACTTCCTGTATAAATGAACTGAAGAGTTGCGTTCTTACCTGCATGAGGTAATCTGCGATGTACTCTGGCTTTAAGCACTTCACTCCGTGTGCACTCGCCTCCGTGACGTCCACTCTGAAGTCTCCGGGTTTGAGCCGACTGAAGTCTGCGAACAGATGTGTGGCCTCTTTGTAAAACGACGGGGAGGGACTGGGCAGCGCCTGAAGAGACACAGCAGGTTAAAACTGGGACCATTATAGAGGCTCACAGGTGTAAAACACAAAAATACATTTCAGTAAAGTTTTAACTGATATTTTATGAACTTCTACAGCTGAGCGCACCAACATGAACCGTACTTCAGAAGAGAGCTCAGATCATAGTTCATCTGGTAAATACCTTTTATTATTGTAGATGCCCTTTTAAAACAAAATAAAAGATCATATAAGCTGTGCAGAAAAGAATGTACAAAATACTATTTTCTTTGTAGAAGCTTCAACATAAATGGCAGAAGGAGCAAATATTTCCTTAAAACTGAGATAAAATGTTCAAGTCACTTGAGTTCAGAAACTCCAGACTGTGAAACTGAATGTTTCTGTATTCACTGATGAAAAACAAAAAATGCACGAGTCAACGAAGTGAGAGATAGTTAACAGACACTTTTAACTTGTATTCATCAAGAAAGAAGACTTGTGCTAATTTCCTGGTTGCTCTCAAACTACCACCTTACTCTAGTCTGGCGTTGAAGAGAAATGACGCTGCTAAATAAAAACATGGTTGTGAAATACGACTAAGAGCTTTCCGGTCTGGAGACCAAATAAAAGCAAGAACAACAAGAAAGAAACGTTTAGTTTGGTGCCGATTGTAGCAGCAGCCTTAAGGGCCCTGTATACTCCACCCGAAGAGGAGAAATCGGCTCTCAATGACGTAGTTGTGTGAAGAAAATGACGTCATTTTGTTCTCACAGCAGTTTCTCAACACGAGGCCCGGGCTGAACGTCTTCTCACAGGCGTGCACACCAAGTGATTTTTGATTGGTCAGAAATTTGTTGGCGTGTTCGTCAACGCGGAAATGTGCTCGGACATTCAGCTGTACGACTCTTCACTAAATTAGAAAGTTCCTGGAGAAACTTTGACGGGGACTGCCTATTTATTATTAAATTATTACTAAAATAAATATTAATATTAACAATTACTAATATCAATAATCAATACTAATTATTAATATTAACATGTATTAATATATTGTTAATTTATTAATTATTATTGAAATATTAATAATTAATATTACTAATATTCATACCAACTAGTTCCTGGAGTTGGTGAAATATTGTGTCTTTGGTCACAAATTACGTCGCCATGGTAATTCGAAATGCCAATAAAAGTAATAGCACACATCACAGGGCCGAGCCAGTCGTTTTGATATAACTTTTGTGGGGGTAGACATTGTGGTTTGGGCCGTATTAACCGAGATAGAAATGTAGACACGATTCCAAGGTGTAGAACAATAGCATGGCAGGCACCAACAAACCTTAGCTCCACCAGACTGCAGCAACCGTCTGAAGCCCGACTCTCTGCTCTGGTCGATGTTCAGCATCACCGTCCATCCACTGAAAGCTCCCTGAAAAACAGCTACAAATAATCAGCGTTCCTACATTTGTGCCTTTTCTCACTGGAACATTCTGAAGTACTGTACTGGTACAAAACTGTGATGTGAAATAAATATGAAAAGATAAAAATACAGCTTAAAGAACTAATGTGACCTCTGACCTGCTGTTGTTTAGGGAAAGTAAATTTCTTATGCATCACGAGAGACATTGATCTCTGAACCACCTGGTACACACCTTCTGTTCAGAGCTTCCCCGCAGAGCTTTTCTCCAGCGCATGGCAGCTAATGCCAGTCGTCTCTGTTGAGAGGTGACGGAGGGTAAAGCATCTAGGATGGAGCTGCTGCCCCATTCGTACTCATCCTCCTGAATCACAGAAAGACACGGAAACTAAGAGAAAATTCAGCATAAAGAATACAAACTTCCATCATGCAATGACTTCATAGTAACGGCTTTGCAACTTGCTGCTGATGCTCTAACAATGACTAAAATTATGAGCTGCGTTTTCAGATTTAATTTTTCGTCTTTGAGAACATTTCTGTCAGGCTGCAGCAGAGTGCTGCCAGATTTACTGTCAAAAGGTGCCGCTTTGTGCAACATTTACGGTGACCACAACAACAAATCTTGCATTCCATTAGACTATGAAAATATAATTGCACATATAACTGAACTCGTGCAGCAACGAAGCGGAGGAGGAATCGCGGTCGGTATCTGACCTGGATGAAGTGACCCACTGAGCGGCAGGCCTCCAGGTACGAGCGGTGCAGGATCCATTTACCGGCCGCCATCGCTGCCAGATACTTCTCGTTACGCAGCGGACTCCCTACGATGATGTGCGAGCAGCTGGGGTCAAAGGACTGCTTGTCCAGGACGACGCCACCTACAGTTCGAACAGGGAAACAGAGACTCCATGAGACGTACTGAGGTTACAGCCTAACATAGCATGCATGACAAATAAGCATAAACACGGTATCTGCAGGTTTCAGCATCACTAATTAAGACTTTTTAGACTTGTAATGACACATTGAAAGAAATTTAAGACCAAAAAAAAAAACTATAAATACAAGTGATGGTTGAGGGATCAAGCGGTATTACGGTCAGTCATAACAGGTGAGTCAATGAGACACGCTCAAGTTTAATTGTTTGTTTACTGAACATAAAGTGATGCTCGGTGCGCTCTGGTTCAACAGCTGTAAGAACAAGTGCAGTTATTTGGTTGGAAACATCCGACACATCTGCTGAATACGCTCAGACTGAGGCTCAGTTGTGTCTTTATCTACAGTTTTGCCTTCAGACACAAAGACGTCGTCCCCAGAGAAAAACAAATACGTATGAGATTAAATAGTCCCAGGGATTAAAACTGAAAAACATCTTTAGACTGAAAGTTTTTCTACATCCAGAGGTTACCCAAGCATCAGCAACTCCCCCATCCCCCGCACACATGCACACCAATACCTGGCATTCAAGAGCTTATTCCTGCATACACGTCACGTCCCAAAGGTTTTCACGTAAAGAGGAGTATACGGAGTACATGACCTTAGTAAAAGTACACAGTATAATGTTCTCTAATGTGTTGACGTTGTAATAAGTCTTTAACCTGCAACATCTGGATTCTCAAGACCAACACCATTCTGAAGGAAGAGACGGTCTTAACAACTTTTCTTTCGTTTACTTTTATGTCATTTCAATGTTTTAAATTGAGTTGTCAAATATATATATAAATATAGATAAAATATTTAAATATAGCATGCAGAACATCAATTAACTGATTTTTTTTTTGTTTCGTCAGACTGACAGATTTATCTCCTAAAATAAAAAATATAAGCTAATTTTAAAAAAGGTCAATTAAATTTACAGGATTTCATCTCATGTAGTCGTTTAATACTATTTATGTTTCATATTAGATCACTCACTGAATTACATTTAACACAGTAAAGTTACCTCTCAGTATGATAAAATCAAGTTTAGCTCATCCAAACAGTTCCAACTCCTTGTTATTGAAATTAATTCTTTAGATATTTAAGATAAACTACAAACACCTGAATCTGACTCTCACAGAGAGAACTACGTGAGTTTGGGTGAAACAAATACAGGTAAACAGAGACATCTCTCTCTCTCCTAGTCTTCTAGCGTTAATCGTTTCATTCTAAAAGCTAAAGCAGCAGACGCAGTCCGTTTCATCTGGAGACTCAGGCTGCACGCTCCTGTGGTGGCGCTCTCGCTCTCGCTCAGACCAGGAGTTTGGTCACGAGCGCAGGATGGACATGTCTGCACGATGATGACGACTCTCCAAACGTTAACATTTAATACAAAGTTCGATTCTACATACACAAGATCTGAGGAGGTTGGGGATGATGGTGTTTCAGTTCTGGTGTCTCCCCCGGCTGCAGTGAATTGGTCACGTGCGCACACATGCGTTCAATAATGTATTACATCATCACCTTGGGTTAGGGTAGAGAGGTGTCCTCCAGCACTGACTGCTGCTCTCACCTGCAGTCTCTCTGCTCTGGACTCACCGTGTATCAGACAGCACGACCCGCTCTGCTCTGACTGGGTAAAACTGTGGCTCTGGTTTCTTAGTGGTTGACAGCAGCATCATTTTAATTTCTGTATCATTAGATTGGATGGCTTGAACACTGACTCCCTCATTTTTACAAAAATCCGTCGCAGCAACAGAGAACTTGAAACCCCCTGACCTTTGAGTAACACATTTAAGACCGACTTACACAGTTTTTAATAAATTTAAGATATTTTAGGCCTTAATTTTACATAGATGAATTGAAGACTTTTTTAAGGATGTGCGAACACCCTGATAAATATAAAAATATAATTCTGGCTCGACAACTGTTGAGTCAAGACATTGAACCTGACGTGTCGACTGAGTAAGGCAAGTTTCTTTCAGCTGTTCACTTCTTCAGGGGTCGCCACATCGAGCAAACTCACATGAAAGGTTTGGCAATTGTTTTACACCGGATGCCCTTCCTGACGCAACCTGGGCTCGAACCCGCAACTTCCTGATTTCAAGATGGCAGTGACCACCACTACCACAGCCCCACATGTTAACTTAGTGAAGACGTGCTGATCTTAACATTCCAACATCTCGCGTTTCACTAACTAACCAGTGATAAACATTATGAGCTCATGATATTATTGACAGAAGGAACGTTCTGCTTCAAGCTCCTGTTTGAAACACTCTCAGATCTTCTGTTAGACGGGGGACTCACCGAGCTCTTCTATGAGCTGACTGTAATCGATGCGCTCCTGAGGGCTGAGGGAGGACAGCTGAAATCTGGGCGGCTGCTTTTCTTCCCTTTTCTCCTCCTGAGAGAAATAAAACTCTTTATTTGCAGCGACAGCTTGTTTTCAAATAAAGATGAGGAACTTGCAGTAGAAAGGTCAAACCCTGGACAGCTGACATGTTAGAAACAGCTTGATTTGTATCGTTTTGTTCCTCGTTACGACGTTAAACCTTCACCTGAGGCTCGGGTGCGACTGGAGGTTTGGCGAGAGGAAAGGCGATGCTGGGAGCTTTAGGAGTGAGGATGTCACCTTCTGGCTCCTCTGGTGGGGGCGTCATGACCTTCTGACCCATCTGCTGGTTAATAACCTCACAGGCCGCTGTGATGAAACAAACACGTTATACCCAGTGGCTCTTCATCATCATGAATGTGAATGTGTCAAGTAAAAAACTTGAGTAAAATGCAACTATAGCTCGTTTTCAAACATTTATTAACAGTAAGTTAAAAATGCTTTGTAAACTAAAAACCAACTACAACACAAGAACATGCCAAACTGTTCAAGTCATAAATAAAGTTTTCAATCTTGATCAAGGATTCATTGAAGCAGGTTTATTAGACCACATTCATTTTAGTTGTCAGTGTGACCACCTAATAAGTAAATAAAAATTGTGTTTTAAGAGTAAAATCGTACAAAAACATTAAAAATGACACCACAATTCATTGTAAATGCACATCAACATAATAATCTGGCATTAAGTTAAATATCAATCTCATATTCTGGTGTTTTAGAATAATTGCATTGTTCTTCTGAAACACTATTTAAAAATATTTATTCAATAGTAAAAAAGAAAAACAATTCACCTGAATTAACTATAACACAGTTTAATTTAACCTGTGGGAGGAAACCGGAGCACCCGGAGAAAACCCATGCATGCACGGAGAGAACATGCAAACTCCACTTAGAAAGGCCCCTGGACTGAGATTTGAACCAGAAACCTGCTCTCTGAGAGGCAGCAGCTCTACCAGTTGCACCAAGAGATCCAATAATTTTGTCTTTTTATGATTTTTCAGCCGAGTTAACTTTAAATGTTTTTCTTTTTTTCCATTTACCCGTTATTTATCCAGGTAGTCTCATTGAACCACGAGAACTCATTTTCAAGAGAGACCTGTTTAGGGAGCAGATGGGGGTTAAGGGCCTTGCTCATGGGTCCAGAGTGGGGCGAATGAGGGTGGGGGCAAGTGTGGGTGCTTCACCTACCCCACCCACATTTTTGATGTTGTCGGTACCGGTGCATGAACCGGCGATCTTCCGATCACAGGCCCACCTTCTCTAACCTCTGCGCCACCACTCCCACTACTATTTAATAAAGTCAAAGTGAAAACAGGATTTCATGATAAAGCCGGCACCGTTTATTTATTTTTAATCTTCACTGATAAAAAAAACTTTTTTTTTTATACACAAAATGTTTTTTAAAAAATATCCTGATGCATGCTCAATAATCCAGGTAGAAAAATCTAAAAAAGTTAAATCTGGTCCTCTGGACATTCAAAAAAAACAAAACAAAGCAAATCAACAAAAAAATGTAGAAACGTTTCGTCTCTCATCCGAGAGACTTCCTCAGTCTGAGGAGCTGTATTCAGCCCAGTCTCTTAAATCGCACCGTCTCAGAGTGGATCAACCAGTTTTGCTGCTGACAACCAAAACCAGCTGATCACATGCTCAAGAAGGACCATCAGCATAACAATGGATCATTAGCACACTGATGGCTGTTTACTGTTCACAGAGGGCTGAGTGATACTAGCAATCACAGCATTGTTAGAGGGGGACAGTTGAACCCGGAGGCCTCCACCCCTGTTTAATGATGGACGATTTCTTTTCACAAAGATGGCCTCCTTTACTCATCTCTCAAACCATCGTTCCTCTCTGTCCAGGATGTGAACATCTTCATCCCTGAAAGAGTGACCGCTGGCCTGGAGATGAGTGTAGACCGCAGAGTCCTGGCCTGATGATGTTGATCTTCTGTGCTGGGCCATCCTTTTGGCCAGTGGCTGTTTTGTTTCCCCGATGTAAGACTGATCACAGCCCTCCTGACACTGAACAGCATACACAACATTACTCTGTTTGTGCCGGGGGACTGGATCTTTGGGATGAACCAGTCTTTGCCATAATGTATTTTGGGGTTTAAAAGCCACTGGGACGTTATGTTTAGAAAATAACCGTCTCAGTTTCTCTGATACTCCCTCAACATATGGAATGACCACTGGTCTGGGTCTGGGTTCCTCCTTTTCACCTGTTGGCTGACCGGAGTCCTGTTTGGGTTTCTTCTCTGCTTTCAGGAAGGCCCAGTTAGGATATCCACATTGCTCTAGAGCAAACATTTGCAAACTGAGGTGTACCGCAAACCCACCCACACTGACCAGTATTTGCAGTTTGACTCCCATCACCCTTTGGAGCACAAGTTAGGAGTCATCAGGACTCTGTATCACAGAGCAGACAGCGTCCCCACTAACTCAGGAGCCAGGCAGAAGGAGAAATCCCACACAAGACAGGCTCTAGCACGCTTCACCTGGTCTGCAGCTCGTACGATCCTCCACGGCGACTCCACTCGCTCGTCGGTCACCAAACACAAAAAACGCCTGGACTTCAGAATTAAACACGGTGTTATCAATATTGTTTTTAAAATCTTAAAAATAGATCCAGCCGCTGTTCCGAGTTCCGAGAAATTGCAAATGGAGGATCGGTGAAAAGTTTGTGAGATCCAGTGACTCCTCCCCCTGACCAATCAGTGTCCTGCATTCCCGTTTCGGCCCAGAGTCAGCTCGACTCGGCTCAAACGGTCCCACCAGAGAAGCAGGGACAAAAAAAGGTCCAGAATCAGACTGGAATCAGTTAAAAAAATACTGGTGGAACAGGGATCTTTCTGTGGCGAGCTGAGCAGAGCTGGGTCCGAGTAGAAGTGGTGCAAATGGGGCATTAGAGACAACTGAGACAAACACAAGTAAAATGCCCTCAAAAGTGATGTGGAATAAGGTTGGTGAATTTACCAGTAACTTGCTTGTCGGACTCGTTGGCCTGTTCAGGATCCCAGGCATGTTCTGTGTGTTATTGTTATTTCAGATTAAATATCTGTTCTTGCACTTTGTAAGATACACTTATAAATAAACGTGACTTATAGATTGTTTTTTCCTCTTTGTGAGGCATTTTTTGACTGATGCGACTTATAGTCCAGAAAATACGGTATGTGCACACACATGAATAATCAGCCGCTAGGATGACCCAAAAAGAAAATGAACAATTCAAATAAATGAACAAAAAGAATATGTCTTACCTATCTCCACCAGCTCTGAATCAGTCATAGAGTCCCTAAACTGTGAGCTGGCTTCTTCAGTGGGAGGGGGTGCAGGGGGGAGAGGGTCTGAGTGCTGCGACGGACTGCCGGGCCACTGTAAATTATCAGCCAGCTTGGCCCTCTCCTCCCTGGCTGTCGGGTCATCCCAGACTATCTGTTCACTCTGAGATGGTTCTGTGTTTACATCCAGAGCGGCTTCTCTGGACACCCTGGAAACACAACGCACGAGAAGCACCAACATTAATTCTTTAAGACGGTTAGTTTGGGTGCTATTTTCTTGTAAAACGATCTTCATTTCACACATTTAAACTTTCCTGCTGCTGTTAAAGCTCGTCACATTTTGAGTGCAAGGTCATTAAAGTTCCACCTAAAGGAGCTTTTTGTTTCTACCTCAGAGCTTCTAGAGTTCGTCTGTTCCCGGTGCGTCCAGCTCGGCTCCCGTCAGGTGTGTTGGAGCCGGACTCGGCACCGCCTGCGCCCATCCTTGCAAGTCTGAGAGAAGTGCGCCTGCCTGTCGTCATCGACATGATCTCCTGCAACTGTTTCTGCAGCTTTTCTCTCATTTCCAGAGTATCTGAAACACCAAATGCACTTTGATCCCCGTGCTTTTAAAAGAGCTCTTGTAAAGTGTGTTCACGTGTTTGGTGCAGTTAACAAGCAGCAAGGAAAAAACAAATACCCCAACCTGTTTTCTCTGTAGTATCAATGGTCTCGTCTGGATCGACCCCTCTGTTACTGACGGTTGCAGGTTCCTCTGCAGCAGTGAGCTCAGACTGACAAAAAAATAAATGCAGGGGTACAAAATGTAAGAAAAAAAAAATAGCACTGCATTGATCCGATATTTTATTAGACATATAAACACACAAAGACACCATCCAACTTCTTGTCCAATCAAAAACAACAAGATAAAAGATGTAAAAGATGGTCAGTTATAACATCTGACTTACCTTGTTGTGCTTTGGTTCTGAGGCGTCTTTGAGTTGTGTTGAAGGTGGAGGCCTCTGGGAGCTGCAGGGCACCTGGCTCAGGTTTAGGCTCATCTTGGGGTTGTAGGTGAACGGGTACAGGGACTCTGGGACGTGTCTCTGCTCCTCAGCACACTGCACAGAAAGACGTGTTTGGTTGGTGGATGAAATGCAAATATGCATTCAAAAATGGGTTAGAGCATACATTCTTGAAATAATCTGTACAAAATGAAAATACTAACGTTGATTTTTACTATTCAGCGTCCTGCTCTTATTGATGAGATCATCATAATTATTTATAAACGTAATGTCTTGGAAGAAAACGCAGTCCAATTACCGTATATATTTTTACAAAACAAAACGCTATAAAGCACCGGGAGGTCACGGTGGTCCAGATAGACAGGACTTACACCGTGACAGTATTATGAGAGTAATGGATGAACAAAACAGCACAAAGGAGATAAGAACAAAACTGCTCATGACTGTCATCACAACAGAAAAACATTAAATGGAGAATTTCTTTAGATTACTTATTTTCTTGTAATATTTGCAGTGACAAGGGAAAATGATCAGATACGATCTGATGTTAAATGTAGAAAAGTCATGGCCAGATTGTTAAAACCATGTTGCATAAAGTTTATTTTGTGCGTAACGTACAGCTTGCAGCCAGTACTGCGACACTATGTGCAGCCCCCTCTCCTTCACTCCTTTGTACTCGCGGGAGGTGTCCCCCACTCGGCCCTGGTAGATGTAGTGCGTCACTCTATCATCACAAGCCCACCTAGATAAAAACAGACAGGAAGTTGAACAGACTTCTTCTGCTTAGTGCTCAAACTTTAAAAGATTAAAACGATAGATTCATATTTTAAAGTTTTCTTTCTTTTAAGTCATTTTGAAACACAAGCTGATGCATTTGTTTCTTTTCATATAAAAACATTGAACGAGAGCATTTGTTCTTGAAATTTTAAGAAACAGTCTTGGGATCATCACTCGTAACATTATGACCACATTTTGAAATGGTCTCACAACGACAAGAGTTCTCCGTAAATAACAATTAGGGCTGCACAGTCAACATCAAATACTAATTATTTTCCTTTTCTGAATTCTTATCCCAATTTTTATATTTTAAAATGAAAATTATTTTTGCCCATCAAACCTGAAAAACTGTAAGTAAAGTTAATCCAAAATTCATTATCCTGTGAAAAAAAGATTTTGAAATTTCCTGCAGATTGTTCAGGAAAACCCTGGAGGTTGTGAGCGATTCTTTGAAAGATCAAAGTTCAAGCATCCAGGCAAAAAAATCCAACAAAAACAAAAAGTCCAACAACTTCGTTGGATTTTTTCCCTGGATTATTGAGCATGAACTTTGATGTTTTGAACCACTTTGGCTAAGTCTGCCTCAGAGGAGTCGATGGGGGAGAAACCATCTTATCACCATCAAACTGGTCGGCCCACTATGAGTGTGCTGCTTGTGGGACTGAGTTTGTTGCAGCTTCTCGGACTGATGAAGTCCTTTGGATGAAGGACGAAACATTTCATCACAAAGAAACCATCCAGATAATCTGACTGAACTTTGTTGGATTTTTTTGAAAGGTTTTTAAAAACAGTGCCAGTACCTGAAGTCAGCTCCAAGTGAGGCAGCGACTGCATTTAGCTCACTCTGCATTTTACTCAGTTTCTTCCCCACACAGACCACAACTCCACTCAGAGGGCCAGCTTCCTTTTGTGGAACCTTCAACATAAACATGATGATTATGATTGATTAAGTAACCAAACAGATACTCTGTGTGCATTCAGAGCAAAGCCTTTACATAAATCTGAACACTAAAAACCTTCTGAATGTAACTTTTTAAAAACATGAATGTGACAGATGTGTATGGGTTTACCTCCTTCTCTGTGGTCTTCTTCAGCTGGGGGCTTGCTGAAGCTGCTTCCATTTCTGAGACGTTACCGTGTGAGCTGTTGGCCAGAGCTACTTTCAGGTTCCTGTTGATGACATCAGTAAGTGGAGTTTCTACTTGTGGTCTTGGCTTCGATCTCCCACCTGGAGTCTCCAAAGCTCCAAGTGCATCCTTCAAGAAGAAATATGTATAATCACGTATTACTGGAAATCTGCTGCCATCGGTATAAATGTTCTAAGTCTGTTGCTCCTCTTTGAGGTCTGACCTTGACGTTAAACGAGGGCCTGAAGAGCTGATCTCTGCTCAGAAAGCGAGAAGGAGTGTCCAGCTGCAGAGGAGGCTCCTTCTGAAGCGGTTTCTTTCTGCTGTCCTGGTTTAGTTTGGGGGTGCTGAGGTCTTCTTTGGGCTTCATCTCATCCAACATAGAGCGAAACACCTTGCTCTGAAAGCGACCCAAATCCAGGGGGGTGATAGCTTTCCCACTTTGTGGACCAAGCAAAGGGACTTCAGGAGAAAGAGGAGCTGGTGGAGGCAGAATCGGTCTCTGAGAGCCGCCGATGAAGCTCTCTTCATCTCTCTCTAACGAACATGACAACATGAGATGTTGATACTCCAGAGACAGGAGACGATTAAAGACTTAACAATGGATCTACAATAAAACATATAAACAAAGATCTACCAGAGATGGATCTCTAACCTGGTGAGGCTGGAAGGTCAACCAGATATTTCTCCTCCAGTGCCCTCTTGCCCGTTCGAGCAGACTCTAGTATCCAGCGCATGGTGACGGCAGGAAACCCCCACTTCTTAGCCGCCTCGTACTTTGTGCCTTCAGGAGTCCGCAACACCAAATGAGTGCTGGCCAACATGCCTTTCTTCTGATTCGCCAGACGCACAAAGTAATCCTGGACACTACAGCAGGAAGTACGAAAAAAAAAAGATGAGGCAAAGGTAGTTGGGAAAGGGAAATCAAGACGTTCATAAAATTTATAATAATATAATAGTAAGCATACTTGGCTCCGAGGTGCTTGGCCAGATCCACCAAAGACTCCCTCTCTGCTCCGGTGAACTGGCTGACTGAGAGAATGCAGTCTTTGAGAGGGAAATGTCCCTCCCTCACAGGAACAGGGGTGAACAGGGGGTTACAGGGCAGCTCCAAAACACACTCTTTCTCCACACACATGGCCTGAAACCAAGACAGAAAAACAATTTTAAAGCTGCCTCAACCTTTTGAAACATATCAGAATTAAATGGACAGTTTGTGTTCCTACCAGCCAGGTATCAGTGACGACCTCGTCCACCGTGGCCTCCACGGAGCAGCCCAACAGAGGAACCACGGCGTAGTCGGCCACGACTCGAGTGCTGCCCGTTAGCACCTTCCCTCCTTGTTCTGTCACCAGCATCGAGAGCTGCGCCTCAGCTTCAGCACCAAAACCCACGAGAAGGAAGATTTTGCCAGAAAACAAGCCGTCCTGCAGGGTTGAGTCTTGTTCTGATCCTGGGTTGGGTACCCATGACTCAGGTTGTGGCTCTGCAGCTGTACTGATGGACTTCCTGCTGTGGTTTTCTGCTGCTGGAGGTGGCATATCAACTTAAAGACAAAAAAAGAACATTTCATAAACATTTGAATCTTAATAATTTATTATTCTGAGTATTAAATAGAGCCTGAAGCAGAGAGCCTAGATTCTGACCTACTGTAGGATCATCATCCATGTATTGTGAGAGTAGATCTTCCTCTGCCGTCTTCTCCCTGGGAGTGCTGGGGCTGAGAACCAGTGGACCGACTGAAGGTCGAGACTTTGGTGGGAGATGTTTTGTCGTGGGTACAGCAGCTGCAGCAGGAGGAAGACAGTCAGGGTGGAGGTATCCTTCTTCTGGAAGCAGGCTGCCTTTGGAGAAACTGTCCAGCAGCCACTGCACCGTCACTACGTGGGGCCTGGGAAGTCACATGCACTCATCATCAGCGACATGTTAGTCAAGATTCTCTGTCATCCAGGACATGGGAATTAAAAATGTAATTAAAACAAAAGAACTGGACCTCTATTCTGCAGCTGAATATGCTGTTTCACACCCAGGGAGCTTTATCAATAAAAAAATTAATCTGGTCCACAGAGGTGATGGGATCGTTTCATTTGCAGGTCCTAAACTGTGGAAACATCTGCCCACCTGTTTTTGAGCTTCATCTTTAAAACACATCTGTATTTACTGGGTTAATATTGATAGTTTTGCACAATTTAAATTGTTTTATTTTATGTTTGACTGTATTTTTAGTTGTTGTTTTGTTTGATATTATTTTTTACTATGTTTTGTTTTATGAGAATCACTGTGGCTAGCTGTTTTTAAGTGCAACATATATATATAATTTTGATTTGAAATACCTAAAGATAAGAATTAGAGGGAAAATGAGTATCAGAATTAACGTTCTACTGTAGGTTTTAGAAATTTGATATCTCCTCCTCTGAATAAACGTAGCTTTTCTTGTTTAATGGCTTCCTTCACTCCCCAATTAAAATTTTTTTTTTTTTTGTTTAAAGATGAACATTTCAGTTCTTAAAAGAGTGTTTCTTATCCTTGAGGTGCAGACAGACAGCTGAGTCTTGTCTTGAAAAGCTGGCTCTCCTGTGTTTAGCCAGGATGGACCGGACACAGACGGAGACAGGTCCATCCTAAGCACAAACACTCAAACACAAACTGAGCAGTGCGGTGCGCACAGTTCAGTTCAGCGAAGAATGTTTATACGTGTTTACTGGAAAAACTAAACAGCCTCTCCAGACACATGATTCAACATGCAGGTGGAAATCTGATAGGATTTCAAGTCGAAGCACCTCTAAACTTGTTTCCCCATCAATGTCAGGAGAATTTTGGTCAAGGTCAAGGATGTTAATCACCAACTAACGTTCAATTATTGTTGAACCATGTGTGTGAGTTAGCAGAGAACTAGATAACAAGCTGATTTGAGGCTGCAGGCACAGCCGGTACTCCAAGGTCACCTCCGAGCTTGGAGGAGCTAAGTGATATAAAAACAAATCTCGCACATCTCGTGGCAGACTCTCGTGACTGAGCTCCAAGCATGTAACTTTTGTACATCTGTGTAAGCTTAATGTGACCGTAAAAACTGGTTAAATATCTTCTCGTGTCCTCACAGTGTGGCTTCTTTGAGTAAGTAGAATGAATACAGGATATCTATTTTTTATCCAACAATCAATATCAGATTTCAATATATCATTTATTTATTCATTAATTTTATTTTTTGCAGCCCAGATAGAAAAAAAGTAAGGATCCAGGACAGAATATTTAAAAGCCAAAAGACTTATTCAGAACAATGAATAACCTAATTAACCTAATTAGAAATTCTGTTGAAATAAAATGCTTTTTCAGCTCTGCATTCAACATTATATGTGCACATTTTTATTTATGCATGTCTGCTGAGAGCAAATATTAAGATAAAGTTTCTTTCATAGCAAGTCATCTACAATAAACTGAATATTTGATTGTTCCAGTGCAAACACTTCATATATAATTTTAACTTGACATTGACTGATTGTGTTGTGAAAACTTGTAATTCATGAATTTAAAAAAGTGTGATGATTCAAAAGGTCAAATATAGCACATCTTCAACGTATCAAATGATTCTAGAGAATACATTGTTTCTTAAAATAATTATTCTCTTTAATTCAGACCTGTGAGTTGCTTTGGAAAGAAAATGTTGAAGTTCCTGGTCCAGTTCTCCCATCACAACATGCGTGAGTTCTTCACTGGGCTGGTTGAAGCGCAAACCTCCTGCAGCGTTAACAAGTCGCCGCAGCTTCTCCAGCTTCTTCATCGAGAGACCACATAAATACAGCTGCCCAACAACACACAAAGAAGAAAGAAAACTCAAAATTGCAGGAACATCATTTATTTGTACAGCAAAAATATCCAAAATTTTAAAATTATAACCTCCATTTACCTTACAACCATCTAAAACATCATCTGCTGAGCAAGCGGTGAGATCCAGGTTGTCAATGGGGTCTGGCGTCTCCATACGGCTTACGGTGGCATTGGTGAGGGCAGTGTCATTTATTCCTATGCTAGTGCTGACAGAAATGTTGCTCAGACCCAATAGAGATGGGGCATCTAGGAACAAAATATAAAATCCTCATATTTTAGATACTAACGCTTTACAAAATGCACTCAGCATGATGGCAAATGTGTATAACACTGGAAAAGAACCAAAAGATGCATGTTAAATTTGTAGCTTACCTTCCCTCTTGGTGGTGTTGGTAGGGGTGGAAGTGTGCGGCCGAGTGGTTTTTGATGCCTTGGGTGCCACACTGTACCTGGTTTCATCCTGACAGAAGCCCTTCTCGATGCTGTCAAAAAGCCAGTGTAGAGACACACAATACACATTCCACTTCATGGCACACTCGAACTTCTGGCCTGCAACACAATGAATCCTCTCAGAAACGACAGTAGCATCAACAAAAACAGACTATTTAAGAAGACAGCTAGAATGAACAATTTGATCACTGACTGAAAATTTCTGATATTTTTAATTGGAACATTAAATTACGAGTTTCCCATCATTGCTAGCGACTTGCCTGTTGGTTCATTGACAATGAGATGTGTGCACTCGTTCATTTTGAGCTGGCCTGTGTATTTGGCTCCATGCTGCTCACAGAGTCTCTGCACCTCTTTGCGTTCTGTGCTGGAGAGGCCCGTCACGCAAACAGTACAGCCAAGCAACACGGGGCACAGATAGTCCTCCATTGGCAAGTCTGTATATCTGAAAAGACTGAAAAAGGTGGCAAGAGTCTTTTAAAAAAAATGCACTGAAACACCCTTAAGATGTACTTTTATAATTTGCTGTAATAACTTGGATTTAAAACAGTAAAGTTTTGTAAAGTATCTGAAGTTTGAAGAGGTTTACAAGGTAAACACGTTTCTAAAAATTTAACTATTTTCCAAGCTAACAAAAAGCAAAACTGTGCATCATTTTCAGCAGTGACACAAACACTCCTTAAAACTGAAGAAACCAGGTTAACATAACTACTGGTACATACCTGTCTTGTGATCTATCCCAGCAGGCTTTGGTCCATGTGGGCAGCAGGATGGGTTTACCTAAGTTGGCAGCCACAAGGTATTTTTTGCTTCCTACTTCTCCTGCAATCAGGTGTGTCACAGACACATTAAGATCCAGATAGACACGTCCACCCATGAGCTGCACCAGATCCATCACTTCTGCCTGCAGAAACAAACAGACATGTAAACATGTTAGCTTACAGCACTGCCTTGTGCTTTACCCTTGTGACATTTACTAATGTATAAAGAATCAGATCATCAGGACTAACCCGTGTTGCTTTGTCCAGATTAGTACAGGAAATAGTTACATCAGCCATTGCCATATTATACACAGGCGTCTCTGCTCTGGGGACACACCGCTGATGTTGGAGGCAGTGCAACACCACCAGTGGACTCACTATTCTGCAGCCAAGCTGAGAGACATTAAAAAAACACAAGGAATTTTAATATATATATATTATTCCAATAGCGTTTGCCATTTCAGAGTTTTTGAGTGACAGAACTGACTCAGACCTTCTTGCAGTGCAGGAACCCTGAAGAGGTGAAGTTGCTGAACACAAACAGAGACTTATCCTTCTGCTCCATCTGTAACACATCTTCTTCTTTGATGTTTTTTATATACTTATCAGACTGCAGCTCCAAAATAGCCTGTAGAAATGTGACATGTAGCTCATAACAGCAGACAAAGAAATTAACATTTAAACATGAATAAAGATCAAGCCAAACGGTGAAATTTACCTCATATGCTTTGACAGCATGCTCCGATTGTGATCCTTCATTTTCCACAAATTTCACAATAAACGCTTCGTTGTCTCTTTTACACATGTTGAGCTAGAATGACTAGAGAAAAGACAATACTTGTATTGCAATGTCTCTTAACAGCAGTAATAGCTACACATACAATGTTTTATTCAAACAGAACTTTGAAAAGGAAGCCTTATTAAAGCTGTCAATCATTGTTAGGTCGATAACACCAGCCAATAGTAAAATAATAAAATAGCAAACCACATTTACATACCTTATGGGTTGACTCTGATTGGTAGTAGATAAAAACGTTCTGTACTCTGACAGAATTCAGTAAAAAAGGGGATAATTTTAAACTACCGTAAATTTCATAGTTTCAGAAAGACGCCGTTAACTAAAGAGGTTAAAGTTTAAAATGTTTCAAGGACAAGTCAAAACCCCAAAGACACTACCGTCAACGACGTTAAATTTATTACACTTCTTATGTCAAGCAGTTCGCAAAAGACGTACTAAATTGAAGCCAAGTCATTGTTTATTATGTTCGCGCCTTTGGAGCGACTTTCGGTGTAACCTACTAATCTGTCCGACTGGAATCACGCAGCTGAAGGAAGGTGCCGCTTTCAACATTACTGTACTGGAAATTTTCTAAAATACTGTGCACGAATAAAATTTTTGTAAAAATATCAGTTTAATAAATAATAATAAATCAAAATTAATTTATAAGAAGTAGTGTTCCAATAAGGTGTCCCAAGTTTATTCATTAACCCCACTCCACTTCTCATTTAAGTATTATTGTATTTTTTTGATAATTCACAGCTATTTCAAATAATTAAAAAAAAGCTATCAAAGTGGTTTCAGAAAAAAAGTATCACAAAATTTTGGAAAAACATCTTTGTGGATTTGGAAAGCGTTATTACCCATAAATGCGTTTCTTTTTATAAGATTTGCATGAACCTGTCCCTGTTACTTATATTTAAAGTGACATAAGACCATGTATTTATTTTACTTTGTATAGTTTTGTGATATTTGTGTTCTTGTTAGTGTAGTTTTAGGTGTTAGACTATTGGCATGCTAGAAAATTAGTCTTTATGGCTAGATCTAACTTGGCATACTCAGGTTGTGCTTTAAAATAAAGTCATTGAGATTTGGCCTAAAATAAAATTGATGAATACAATCACTGGTAAACTCTTTAGCAACTACTACTACTACCAGTTTTATGACTAAAAGTATGATTATTGAAGATGTAAATAAAAAGAATTGGGAAAAATTCAGCAACAATTGTATTGGGCAGAAGAGAAAAAATGCAGGAAATAGTAAAGAAAAATAAATTTGTAAATTGTGGCATTTGCATTTTTCACTTAATGTTTTGAGTATTTACTTTGGTTTTTGACAAAATAAATTTTGTAGTTTGTTTTACAATTAAATAAAAATGTCTATTATGATATTGAAATAATTTGATTTTTTTTTGTCCGCATGACAGTAAAAGTCTGTCATAATGGTATTTTACAAACACTGTAATCATAAATGTCATTTAGGCCAGTAGGATTATTTCACAATTTTATAAAATTATAGTATAACTTTTTTTCTGTTGGGGCAGAGCGAGAAATAAAAAAGTTTTCTGAAAATCATTATCCCGACAATCACAAAAGTAAACACAAACACCACCACTTTGGATTCCCTTTTATTTTTAAAATTTATGTACAACTGTGACTGATTTTCTTTTTAAATGTACATTCAATATAGAAAGTTTATATACGCAATATTACATTGAACATTTCACAAATTGCACTAGTCTTTCACATAGATTTATAATCAAAGTCATTCGTCATGTCAGAGGCTCATTTCCTGTGGTTATTCCTTCCCCCTCCCACACACATAAATATTCTAGTGCTTTTTGCATTCTGGGGAGAGAATTACTTAAAACTTATTAGGCAGCGAATAAGACTATCTTTCAGAGAGGGCAAACGGAGAGAATAATATTGGATAATTTGAGGAATGAAAGGCTGGACAATAGGAGATCTGTGTAAATCTGACAAAACCAGAATAATCAGCATCAGTCTGAGTTAAAGCAGAACTTTTTTTGTGACAAAACGAGTCATTTTATATCCATGTTCTCATCTCCTGCATCATTTTTACCCAAGTTAGATTTCATTACAAAGACATGAAAAGGACATGTTTATACAAAAAGAGAACAGGTCAAGTGCACAAACTAGGCCAAGTATCCTCAGACGACGTTGAGTTTTCTGATGAATCATGATAATAACCAGGAATAAACTGAGTGAAGTGGCAACAATTTCCTCAGAAACAAGTCTTGGTCTTCCCATTTTGTTCTTATGGAAACAAAACAAACAAAAAAAAAAAATCTAGAGTAAAAAATATATTCATACAAAAAGTAAACTTCTTTTCCGTCATTCAAAGAAACAAGAAAAAAAATATGGTCATTTGTTAAAACAAAGCATATTTGAAGACTTCAGTGTCATTTGAAAGCAGAGGGTGACGCTGCAGAAGTGTCGCAGACAATTTGGTGACAGACTGTGATGGCCCGGTCTCCCTGGTCTTCTCTCTCCATCCTCCCCTCTTCTGGGGAGCTGAACAGACCTCTGAGTTGTGGCGGTGAAGCTGCAGGGCAGTCTGAGTGCCTTAGCGTGACGTGTGGGGGGTCCTTCAGCCTTGGTCTCCAATGTCGTTGTCCACAGGGGGTGGGACGCTGGACAATACTGTGGTGCCAGTTCCGGCTGTGAGGTAACCTGCAACTCCTGGGCCTACAGGTCAGAAGAAGATGGGTAAGACTAAGCCCAGATGAGACTAATAACAGATGGACATCCTAAAGGTGAACTATAAAGCTGAATGTCCATATTAGTGATTTATGACAGTGTTATATTTGTTTACTTTTTAAATAGGACAAATAAGCAGTAAAAGATGGAGATGGAGACTGTTTGTGCACTTTTTTTTGTCACAGCTTTATCTTATAGCCCTTTGCTTCTTTATGTGTCTCTTTGAAACACAAGCACAAGTTTGTGAACTTTTCAGAATAATTATTTTTAAATTATTTTTTCCCAAATAGTCATTCAGGCAGAAGTCAATACCTTAGTAAAAAAAAAAAAAAAAAAAAAAAAAAAAAATTGAGAGTTTAACTTTATTTCTTTTCCTCATGTTAACTTAGGTTGAGTCCATAATCTCATCACTGGCAGGCTTGTGTTGTTTTTTGAATAGGAATGTGACAACAAGAATTAAATGATTCACCAAATACGCTCTTCTGGACTGGACCCAAGTAAATAAAAGTACACCGATGACCACAGTCATGGTACCCTTTTCATCTAACTTGGGTTTCAAGTTTGTTGCACAAGCAAATACACAAAAAGTCTGTCTATACTGAACTAATGTTGGATTATATTCTCTGTTTAGCTGCATTTAACCCTTTTTATATGAAAAATGCAACTCCAAAAAAAAGAATGCCAATTTAGAATTTAAATTTAAAAAACACGTAAAAAATGCCCAATAATTACCAAATGTTAATTTTTAAGGCGCAACATTTCCACTACTGGAACGTAAAAGGCTCGATAAATGAATGGTGAAGATGGTATGACCTTTTTATCACTGTGAGATGAAGACGTGGAAATGAAAACAATGGAAAACTGGTAAAGGTAAGAGGAAAAGAATGGGAGGAGGAGGAGTCAGACCAGGGTCTACCTGCATCAGAGCAAGAAAGAGGCGGGCTGTGAGGGCCCAGCTCTGGAGTCTAGAGCCCACCTCGCAGAGGGCTGCTGGCAGCCAGGAGAGAAGGAGTGGAAACCCCTGAGGAGGAAACGCAGAGGACAAAGAGGAAGGGCAGCGCAGAGCAAGGAAGTTAAAGGACGTGGAAAGAAGAAGGGTCGCTGGGTTTTAGCACAAGTTAGGAATCAGCCAAGTGTTTTTTAATTTTTAGGGTAAAGCAAAGCGTTAATGTTCATCAACAGATCAAAGAAAAGCCATGAACTTACCTTAAAAGCGCTCAGTGATGTGCACAACACTTTGCTTGTTTAAATGTTAATTAGTTAGTGATTTGATTAAAGCAACACTTTTACCTGTCAGGTAGCCTGCAGACTGAGACTCTGAGATGAAAAGATCATGTTTCTGGTCTTTGAAGGCACTCCAGACTGAGGACTTGGCAAGAATTTCATTCACCTGAAAAGCAGCAAAAGGAAAATGTTTTGAAATTCATGAAAAACAAACGAGATTAGGTATTGGATTAGTTAGTAAATACATGAGGAAAAATATGATTTTTCAACCCATTCGTACCTGCTCTCCATACTGCAGGCTGCGAGTCATAGACTTGAGAGCCTTCACTATCTGGGCCTTCGTAGCTGAAGGGTTTTCTATCGTCTCCAGGCCGATTCCTTCCAGTAACCTCAGGAGGTATGGAACCAACTCAACTTTCAAAGCCTATTTGGTCGTTAGAAGAAGAGTTATTACGGCCAGATTAAACACGGAGCGAGAAAATTAAACAAACCCGACCAGTTACCTGAGCCACCAGTTCTGTCTGTTCTTTCTGAAACATGCGGTTGAGAGCTTCACAAGCCAGTCCGGCCATGTCGGCACGAGCTTTCATCCCAGCCATCAGGGGCCCAATCGTCTCCAAAGAGGCCATGGCTCGTACGCACAGCTGTTACAAGGAGTGGATTAGATTAGATTCAAAGCTGAATGTTGCAGAAACTCTGCATTTTGTTTCTCACCTCGTTTTCTGACAGCACGTGGATGAGGCGAATGGAGCTCTTGGGCACAGCGTTGTTCTTGTGGTTGAGCGCTGACAGGACCCGAGGCAGGTGGCCCAGAGGAGGAACCTGATCAGCCAGATGGCTTTGGGTGCTGAACAGGCAAACTGATGCTGTGGTGACCGTCTCCAGAGCCTCACCCTGCATTGGACAGCATGTGTTAGTTTAGACTAGCAAGACAATAAAAACAGATCCCTTTGTTTGTTTCCTGGTACATTAAAACTTTCTGTTCAGTAAAAAAAAAAAAGCTCACATTGGGGTTGTTTTTCTCCAGAAGCTCACTCAACGTTTCCAGAAGGGACACCAGAAACTCTCGAGGTTTACGCAGGACCCATCCAGGCTGAGCAATAAATATACGCAAGAATACTCCGCCAACTTCAAGTTCGCCCTGTCCAGCTCCATACGCTACCGTGAAGTCATCTGGCAACTGAGGGCGCACAAACAAAAAGTTTATGTTAACGCTGCACTACAGAAAATATAAATAAAATATATTACAGTAAGTTCCTACTTACTTTCCAGTTCACATCAGGATTATCCTTCTGCTGCTTAAAGTGCCTTAAAAAAGATTAATTACAAAAAGTCAGACCCTTCACCTTCTGGACAGTTTTGTTTAGGGCAGGTTAAACTGAAAATCAAACTGAGTTCATGTGAGTCTTACTCAAGCATCATCTCACGGACTGTGGTGGACACTTTCTCCCTTGAAGTGTCGTTCCAGATGAGCTCAGGGTTCTCATGTGTTCCCTCGAATATCTGCACCGCTGCCTCGGCATTGTCTCGCATGGCATCCATAAATACACCCGGAAGGAAACGC